GAGCATCCACACCCGTTCTTAACATTAATCCGAGCCTGGCAAATAGAGTAAATATGTTTTCTTACAGCTGTAAGCATCCCACTTCTTCAAATACCTTCGTTATTAAACGTTAGTTTGCTCTCCAAACGTTGTAATATGAACCTTAGTTCACTTGTCAGTCGTTAATATGCAACGATTTTCTGTTTGTCGTTTTACCGTCTGAATAATTGTTATGTTTATAAACGTTAATATATTTTATTTGTGTGCTTTTGTTTCGAGCGATTTAATAATGACTTTAAGTAGTTTTATACGTCAATTTCATTTCACTATACGACTCATTTAAACGATTCTAAAGAAGCCGAAATCATCTAACTATTTATGTTCTATTGTTAGGACTGCGCATTCAAAAGCTTCTAAACTGGGCATACCAAACATCAGTGCTGGATCCAAGGTAGGAAAAAAAAGGGGGGGGAGTGATATAAAAGAGCTTCTCGAGTGTGTGAAACTTCTTCTCATACCATTTGTTATGAACTCATAACCCAACTTTAATAACACAAAACCACGCGATCTCTACGAAGGTCAAGCTCATTGTGCTATCAAGCATTCTTTGTAATCCCCCCCGATGCTCTTTCCAAGTCGTTATAACATTTCTCTAAGTGAATCTAGTCACGTGTATCCTATAAATGCGCCATTAACTATATATATATACGTATCTTACAACAAAACACTGGAAACTTGTATTAAATTTAAAGGCAAAGACTTAAAACTGAATAAATTATAAAAGCTATAACTTCACAGATGTACAATGAAATATAACATACAGTTCCCTGTTAGAGACAATCGTCCTTCGATACGACTAATGTTGTTTTTAGCGAATTAATATTCAAATAGATAAGTTCATATATTTTAGAACGTAGTGTCTATGGTGACTATAAGGTAATGGAAGAAGAAACAAAACGGCTGTTGAGAGAAAAATATGGCATATTTAAAAAGCTAAATAAAAAAGACAAACTATAATTAACTTTTGTCTGTGACAGGTTGATCCCGTGCAAAGAAAGAAGTAACTGGATAAATCAGCAAACATTTCGTATGTATTAAGAAATAACATACACTAAACCTGCACAGATTGTTTGGATAAGTGTTTCTTTAGAAAATCAAAGTGATATGAATGTTTAAAAACAAACAAATGTAACACTGTAAAACGTCAAAATATTTAAACATAATAATTATCCACATAAAATATTTGTAAAGTTCGTGTGGTCAGACATGTTAACATGACTTTTTTATAATCAATTTATTTGCTTAAGAAGGAAAACGTTTTTGCACACCGCAGCATCCGCTCCAGACAAAATCCAAATTCCGCCATTTTTGTTGCTGTTGGCCCCACTGATATGAAAATGGTGATAAAATTCCATTGAGCGTATGTAGCAAATATTTCTAGTTACTGTGGCTCAATTAGGCGTTAGATACATGCTGTAAGCACAGCGCAGATAGCCCATTGTGCAGCTTTGCGTTTGAAATATATATAAAATACTTCGGCTTAAATGTCCACGAGTTGTTCAGCCTGTACACCCACATACTCAGTAAAACATACACAGCCCCCCTTTTTTTCTGCCTCTTATTGCGGTGCTTAAACATATGAGTGTATACACGTGTCCGTAATGATTTGATCCAGCGTTTCCCACACTTTTGTAATCCACGCCCCCTTTTAATAAATATGGTTTCTTGCGCCCCCTCTTTTTATAAATGGGTGAATTGTTTGTTTGTTTGTTTTGAATTTCGCGCAATGCTACACGAGGGCTATCTGTGCTACCCGTCCCTAATTTAGCTGTAAAAGACGAGAGGGGAAGGCAGCTAGTCATCACCATTCACATCAAATTATAACGCCCCCACGGCTGAAAGGTTTGTTGAG